GGCTCCAGCCGGGGCCGGCGTGCGCGGAAGGGAGGATGCGGCCTCCCGTCCCGAGGGCGTGCAGCAGCCTCCAGCCCGCGGAGAGCAACAGCTTGATTCACCCCAGCTTTGCTAATAAGGAATTACAATAGTTGTGGGATTTGGCAGTGGGAGCGGACTCAGTTGCCGTGCATAGTACAATATTTTCCCCGTTTTGTTTGTATTTTTGATTTAGCTGCAAATAATTTAAAGATGTGTTGTGTCTCCTTCGATTAAAATCGGTGTTTTCGACCTCTGGGTTTTTTTCTTTTTTTTTTTTTAAACAGCAGTAATGAATTTGAGCTTTAGTTAGATGCGCTAAGGTAAATTGTTACCTCCTTTTTGTTTAAATTGCAACATTTTTATGGGTTGCAGTCATTAATATATCAGTATTTGTTCTTGTTTCCTTTGTAAAATTTGCAGCTTTATTGTACTGGGTGGAAGATTTCCCAGAGTCAAAAAATTTCAGGCTGATAGAAGAAAAATACTGTCACGAGGCCAACATGTAAATATCTTAAACCAATATAGCATGTTTAGAGGAATTATACTTTCCTCTCCTGAATTATGATTTTGGAAAGCGACGCTACCACCACATTTATTTCAAATTTAAACATTCTGAAAGAATACCTCTTAGGTTTTGAAATCTGGTTTCCATTCCTGGCTCCGTGTGACCTGCTGCGTGACCCTGGGAAAATCTTTTTTCTTGGTTTCGCTATCTGCATAGTTGCTCTGATGATCTTAGCACCTCTGTAGAGTGATTTAACATCCGTCGGTGGCAAGCAACCTTTTGGTATTATGTAACGGTGGTTTCCATTTCAGGTGAATGGATTTTTTTGGTTATAATGAAAAATGAAAGAGAAAGTTAAAACTCTTGTTTTTTAAAGGATGTATTGATTTTAAAAAGCTTTTTTTCATGAAAAAATGTGAATGAAATAATTTTCTATAACATGAAATTACTCCTCAGATGCAAAGGACAGCTCTCCTGCGGTCAGGCTTGGGGAAGGAAGGAGAAGGGCCCAGCAACTCTGCAAACAGCGCTGCGGGTGGGCTGGGAAAGGGACTCCCTGCCAGGTGACGTGTCTTCTCCTTCCTCTTTCAGACCCAGCCGGTGCCCAACCCAATAGCCTATTTCATGCATCGCTCCCCATGGTGGTTTCATCAGTTTGAGACGTTATTCAACCACTTCATCGAGCTGGTGGTGCCGTTCTTTATCTTCCTCGGGCGTCGCATGTGCATCGTACATGGCATTTTGCAGATCCTTTTCCAGGTGAGATGCTCCTGGGTTTGCTTCTTAAGGGTCCCACCTTTGCCCAAGAAACCACAGGGGGTGTTTGAAGGGCGTGAGACCTCTCCCGCAATGCGCGTGGGTACTGAGCAGCTGCTGAGGTCCTGGGGATGTAAGCTGGGATGGGCTGGGGCAGCTGAGCTGCAGAGGCACGATCCCAGCCCCCAGCATGGAAACCCGCCAGTGGATCAGGAGCGACACCTTCTCCATCACAGCAGCACCACAGGCTGTAGCCCGCTGAGCCTCAACCAGAGCAGCGTCCCGAAGAACTACCTCACTATCAGGTCAGGAGTGAATCAAGATGATTCAAAGCGATTAACTGCTGGCTTTTGGGTAATTCGCAGTGGTATGGCTGATATTAGTGTATTCCTGGAGATTTATTTCCCTTGCATTTGGTTGGTTTCCATTCATATGGATGGCAGAGGGATGTTAGCACGGGGCCCAGCACAAAGAGTTTGATTCTGTGACGGCCCCAGCTCTGACTGAAGGTCGTGGAAGGCCTGAAGGGAGATTTGTGACTTCTCCAAAAGTAAATTTTTACAGACAACATCTTTCACTCTTTGAAGGGAATTAGATATTTAGTGTTTAAGGACTGCTCTTTCTCTGAAAATGTTTGAGTTCTGATTTTCGCAGCCACTGGGTTTACTGAGCCACGCTTCATAGTGCAAATCATTTGTTCATAAAGTAATAGCGTTCAGATTCCAGTTGAATTTTTTACACAAAGTAAATGAATCTATGCAAAAGTGAGAGAACAGAAGATCCTGAATATGTACTTTTTTAGGTCCTATCTGATTTCTCTCTCCTCTGCCCCGAGACAGTTGAAAAACTTCATTAAACTGCAGCCACTCTGTCTTGCAGAAGCGCAGCTTCCAGCTCGTGCTTATTGCGGGGTTTCTTCAGTGTCATTTCAGCATCATGAAATTCATATACTGTAGCTGTTACTGCTTCCTGTAAATATGTGTGATGATTAAACTGGAGAACAGCTTATAAACTGTATTGGTAAACCACAAAAATGCTGATCAGATTTTAAAGGGCTGACATAAAAGCCAAGGGATTTGTGCATTCACACAGAGAAGGCTGCTCCCCTCCCTGCTTCTGAAACACATCCTGTTGCGTCTGGCTACCGCAGGACATATAACCTCTGCTTTGCCCTTTTTACACACCTTTTGGCGTCAGGGATCTTCTCGGTTTAGCCAGAGGTCCCCAGATCGGAAGCAGAGCGAGGGTGGCTGCCGGTAGCCAGCGCTCGGCTTCAAGGAGGTCTCGGGGTGTTGCTCCGTCTGGGGCTAACACGCCTGGTCTGCTTGTGACGGTCATTGCGCATGATGTTTCCCTTGTAGCCAGGAGGATGAGGTTCAGCCCAACCCTAAAAAAGAGAACCTGCTTTCTCTTCTATGGACAAAGCAAAATATCGCTGAGGAAGGGGACGGGTGCTGAGCCAGTGCCGATGGAAACCAGCTTAGCATGGTAAGGACTGCAAGTGGAAGTAGTGTAAGGAGGTTTAGGGAGGATGGTGATTGCTTTTTCCTAGGGCAGATAGCCCAAGAAAGGACCATGGTGAATGGCCTCCCAGAAAACAAAGCAGTGCTGCCCAATTTCAGCCCCGGGGCAGGGCTTCATGTTCTGTTCCATCCTGTGTTGACAGCAAAGTAGCAGCCTGATAGCCTGAGAGGGCGATACTCTGTCTTCACACCTCTCTGCCAGAAGAAGCCTTGGTTACCAAAAAGCCCGCCCAAATGCCACTCTCCCCGCTGTCCTTGGCTCTGGGTTTCTCGCTGTTGGAAATGCTCCTGTGCAGGAGGCTAACGCAGAGCTGGGATGCTGCTGGGGGCCACAGCCAGCCTCTTCGCTGGGGACTGCCATCGCAGTCAGCCCCCGGACGCAGCCAGCGAACGCATCCGGCTACTCAAAGGCCCTTAGCGAGCCGTGCAACTGCTGGTGTGCTACAGAGGTTCAGACGGAGCCAGAGGGATCTGAAAAAGCAAACTGCGTACAATAAAGGCTCATAATGACATATTGTAAATGCATGCATCTAACCACCCTTTAATTGGCGCTTTATTGATAGTTTGCAATTACTGACTTATTTCTATCATGAGGGGAGTCTGCGAAGGAAAACAGGGTCCCAGTGTAACATGCAACTCTGGTGCATTTATAGCATTTCAACAAAAACCTGTTTATTTAATATTTACTGCCCTTTTCTTCATTCAGAATGACTTTTATTGACAATACTTCTGCTCTGCAAAGGAAGCAATAAAGTTTAATGTTGATATACCACTTAATTCTGCTTTTCAAGATTTGAATTGACATTACATGCAAGTTTTATTGGACATTTTATAATTGTTATTGGAGTCATGGTGGCTAGCTTGAGTAAGTGTATTTTTCCAGATTCCAACTGGCCTGGAGAATATTGCTTTGTCAGGAGCCCAAAAAAAGTTGTGCTTTAAAAAAAATGTTTTTTTTCCAAGTGTGAACTTATTCTTCTTGCCTCCTTCACGTGTGTAAGGAAAAAGGCTTAGCGAACGGGCTGCCGCCTCGGGCGATGTCGGTGAGGAGGGGCTGGGAGGCTGCCG